AGATGAGCAAAAACCAGGTCCCTTTCCCTGCTGATGCTACCAGTAATTCTGAATTGGAGGATGCTCACAATACTTCCAAGCAAGTGGCAGGCTCCTCTTCAGTATCCAAATTCGATGGTAAGAGAAGGGAAAAAGCCCATTCAATGCAGCTGTAGGTGCTATAAAGCTGGTTTCCTCTCTTTGTTTTACTTACAATTTGTCAAAATACGGCCTTTAAAACACCACTGAATATTCCTAGATTACAATTTTCAGCTGCCCAGATTCTTAAAGGTGTTTTGTTCTCTCCTTCTCTAAAAACCTCCTCCCCACTTTGACTTGCACCTCAATCAGATTGATCATTTGAAGGTGAAAGCTCTTGAAACAGCTCTTTTAGGAAAATAAGCCCTCCCCACCATCTCTTTCATCCCTTTGGACATAATGAAAGGTTTTTCCATGCTAAATCCTGATGAGTTCAGCATGTAGCAGACAGTGCTGGACTGAGCAGGGGAGGAGCAGAAGAGCCAGGGAAAGAAGGAGAAGCAGAGGGTGAAGGCATCTTTAAGAGTTGCAGGGAAAGAAAGGAAAGTTTACATCTTTTCTGTTCTTTCCAAGTTCTGGGATTTTTTTTTTTCCTATTTGGAATATGAAATGGAATCTTGTGATGTGTCTGATAGGCTTCCCAGGGCCACTCAAATGATTATTTCACTGTTTGGCTCTCAAATACAAAATACCCCATAGTAAGTTATTAGACTACTGGACTGGAAAACTCATGATGAGACTCTCCCTCTTCAAGTCCTCCCTGTTTTATTCTACCACAGAAATGACCCAATATTCCACACTCTCCAGATACCCCCTCATTTGCTCGTTAAGCAATAAGACTGGAAGAGCTAAAATCCTTTGCGTGCAGAAATTTAGTTGGGTTTGCCCAAGCAATTTGATCATCTTCAGTGACTTCTCTAAAGGAAGTCAGCATGGGGACTCCAATGCCCTGGGAAAAGGCAACACCACTTTCCTTTTGAAACATGAAATGTTTCTTCTTGGTAAAAAATGCCAGCATCTTAAGGAGCACTTTGCCTCATCTATTGCTCTGGGATGGGAAAGTTGAAAACAGGACTTAAAACCTTGAGTCCAAGATGGCCAAAGGGCCAGAAGGCTGCTGGTACTACTGCTGCTGATTAACATACAACAAGGCAGAATTCCTTGGTGAAAAAAGTGCTGTGATGAAGTGCTAAAAAGGCAAAGAGCTCCAGAAAGAGGAAGAATGAGACTTCTGAAGTGGAAGATTGATGGCTCTTGAATAGAGCTGGGGGACAGCAACATTTCATATTCCTTTGCTCCCAAACATCTGGCTTTGTGAAGATGCAAACTACGTAAGCCTTTCACAACAGCGTGGGTGTTTGTGATGCTAAATGCTCCGGGGATAAGGACTTGCCCAGGCAAGGCAGAAAAGAGAAGGAAATAAAGCAAAGCCTGGCAGAAAAAGCAGCAGCCTGAGGTTCACCTCATGTGCACGTTTACATTTTAAGTTCCATCACTTTGGAAATATCTCAGATTTTTCAAAAGGAATGACAGTGGCCTAAAAATTAGAAAGGCCAACTGGCAAGAAGAGTCAAAGAGGGTATAAATCATCTCCAAGAATACAAACAATGATGTTGAGATTCCAGAATCTCCCCCCTCAAAAGGTACACAACCAAGTGTTGCCAAAAAAAGCAGTCCCACCCTGCCCTCCCTCAGCCACGTGTTTCTGGCACATCCCTTCTACTGGCACGCTGCACGCGTGGCCAGCTCGACCCGTGAAGCAATATGGATGAAAAACAACCTCGTTGAAAAGGGGAAAGAAAACCAAGAAGTGCTGCTTTCTTGCACCATCATTTTCCTGATTAAAGGTGTAGCTTGGCTGCGTAAATGCTGGGGTACGTGCACGACTGGGGAGAGAAACATACACCGTGGGGATGGTGTGGGCTCTGGGTCGAGCTGAAACGGATCATGGATCCGTTAGAAGGACATGTGTGGGTGTGGGAAGCCTGCAGTGAGGGCTCCCAGTTTCCTGCTCTGCCTGGGTGAGCAGTTAGCAGGGTCTGGGACAATGCCACCCACTGCTGTACAGACAGGCTGGAGCAGCAATCAGGAACTCCCACCGCCGTTGCTCACAGGCACCCGTGAGGACTTCAAATGAGCTAAATATACCTCTGGGTCACTTGAAGACCCCGTCCTTCTCATATACAGCACAGCATCTTATCTGCCTTCTACCTGAACTGTATCAAAGCTTTGGCATAAATCTGAATGACTACCAGGTCAGTATGAAAGAACACTAATAAATAGGAGTTACTTTGGGCTGTGTAAGTTAAAATACTAGCCAAACCAACATTTTCTTCCCTTGTTTATAGCCTGCTGGATTACAAGCCAGGGGGATGTAAAGACCTTAATTTATCTATGTTGCTATTATTTCTCTCTGTCTGTGAAATCTCTGTTTGGGCTTTCCATCCAGCAGGTCCACAACCCATTTTGACAGCATCCTGGCCCTGGTGCTCAAAGCCCGGTGCAGGCAGGGCTCACATCCCTGCGTGCCGAGCTGACGGGATAGGGCAGCTGCCTTTCTTCTTGAGCCATCTCCTATGGACGGCATACGAGTATTGGACAGTTTCCAAAAGAAGGAATTAAACCAGTCTGGAAGTGAAGCACATTTTGAGGGTATGGAAAAATCTTTTATCTTTTAAATAGATGCTAAGGTGCGAAACACTTTCCCTTATGAGGATGATGAGGCAGAGGATCATAAGTTTGTTTGGTGGAACGAATGAATCAGCTAAATTGGTAACTATACAGATAGCAAATTAGTCATGTGAAAGCATGTGCACTTCAAATGAGTGTTGATTTTAAAGTTAACTGTGATGTTAGAATGGCTTAGACCAGTAGTCAAAATCCTGAACAGCAAGCCTTAAAAAAAAATATTATACCCAAAGAAAAATAAATGAATATTTTTCCATTTTAAGCACATGTAAAAATCACAAGAAAAGTTCTGACTTTCAAATATCAAAAGAAATAAAAATGCACAAGTTCTCAATCCTTTTGCTTCTACAACTAATTGCTTTAAACCAAGAGTACTTCCTTTTTGTGGCTTTGTTGCAAACCCCTGGAACTAAAAAGCACCAGAATAATGACCTCAGCCAGGGTTAGTGAGGTGAACCGCAGCTCAAAGTATTCTTGAGAACACTTTTCAGAACACTAAGTATATGTTTAAAAAAATAATAAAAAAAAGGAAAGAAACACAAAAGGGAGAAAAAAAAAATCCCAAATCAGTTTTCTGCTATCCAGATATAATGAGCAATGACTCTGTTTTTTTCTGACAAGTAACCCTAAAAAAAACCCCAAACCAAAAAAAAACACCAATCAAGATCTAGCTCTTTGAAGATATTACCATGGCACATGTGCCCTCTCCACGTAAAACAGGAGGAAAATGGAAGTAACTGATGTCACAACAGCAAACTACTTTTTCCTTTCTTCAAAGGACAGTAAAGAAACGCTGACATTTAAAGTGGCATGTGAAACAGCAAGGGGGAAAAGTTAGGATGCATCTGACACAGCATATGTTCAGCATGGATTAACACAAAATAAGTCTGACTAAGCAAACCCCATACGAAGAAGAAACGTTCAAACAACATACGGAACGTAATGCTGACAAGGTCAAAGCCCACGCCAGGCATTCACCTAGGCCTTGGTCAAGCAGTCTTGGCCAAGGAGAAGAGGTCAAATTTCTGAAGCCAAGCAACCGTACTTACTCTGTGCTTCACAGTCCACGCAGTGGGAATTGCCTCTGATGTTCCGTATGGACTGAAGGGCCATGGCCTCGTTCTGACTCGTCAGGCGCGACTGCGTAGATTAAAAGAAACGTATGAGCAACAAATAAAAACCCAGTAAAGAGGGTTAGATGACACGACTGACAGCTGAACGAATGGCCGAACCCAAAGCTTTGACCAAGGTTGATCGAACATGATTGAAGGAACCCAAGTCCTTGGTTTGCCTCTCAATAAACAGTGACCCTTTGGCATCTTCACATACTGCAGGTCTACATCTGCCAAGCAGGGACTCCTCTTTCTTCCCATGTTTCTGAACGCTCAGGATTTCTCCCAGGGCTCTCTCCACTCTGCCCAGGAGCTCCCAGTGTTCTGGGGTCTCCAGTATGGATTCTAACAAGTGGGGAGACTGCGCAGAGGAAAAATGAGCTTTGAAATGAACCCAGCTGCTCATAAGTAAAGTGGTCACAGTGTAGGTTTACTTCTTCAGATAAATGAGATAAGAATATTATTTTATAAAATCAATTTCTTGCATTGATGTTTATGCTTTCAGTAATGAAGACTAAGGGATGGTTTGCAAAAGCAACTGAAACCTTTTTATCATCAAAAGGTCAGATTTAATCAGACGGCTCCCATTTAAATTTCCTCCATGATGACCCGCCAATGACCCTATTTAGACCTGGGGAGACTGTCACTATGTACAAGTAGTTCAGTTCTACCCAAATAAACTGTCTTGTGGGCTTTCTGAGAGGGAAAACAGTGCGCTGTACCGAATAACAGGCTCTTTGCAACAAATCAGTTTAAGCAGGATGAGGACCAGGTCTTAAGTGTGACGATGTGGAGATATGTCCTCCTGATGTATCAGCAGGGCACCTACTAGACCTGTCCAACTAACTACACCTTGCCATTCCAGCTAGTTCTTCTGACATGTTTTGGGACTTCAGTAATACTTCACAGAAAGAAAATCTCTCTGGGCATTGTAGTGGGTTGAATATATAACCCAGAAAGCTCCCTTTACATGCATAATCTTATTCTTTTGAAAGGGAAAATCTGTTGATATTTAATATAGACGAAGGCCAAGCTTCTCTGTGGGTACTGCATGGTAAATATTACCAGCCACTCATCATCCTCTTTTGTATGAGTATTATGTAGGTGTCAGTGTATGAATTTCCTCTGTTGTGCTCCCTTAACACAGATAGTTGAATGTGTAAATCCATGAAATGCAAAAAAACCATATAAGCAGTCATTTTTCTCTATCTCAGACATTGGAAGTATTTTTTTTCTTTTCTAAATAAGATGGGAAGTAAATTATATTATAATGATGGTAATTACTGGTGTCTGAACGACTGTGGCATTCGTTTCAGAATGAGTCTCCTCCTTGCAATATAAAATCATTAAAGACATCTGTTAGGCAGATAACGTTAAAGGATCCATAGGTCTGAATAATGACACCTCACTTCTCTCCCTCCACTACCACTCAACACCTTGCTCTCTAGCTGTGAAGTGTTTGCAAACAGAGACTCAGGAAGCAGATGTTCTCTTGCCCTTCTGAAGATGAGCAATGGCTGAAGAAGCCTCAGATTTTAAAATTTATTTATTTACTTCGACAGGGAAGGAGAACAAATCCCTTCTTCCATCCTATGAAAGCTGCAAGGTAGAAGGTCTGTACCTCTTAGACAATGTTCATCTTCCCCCAAAAAGCTGTGAACAACTGCTTCTGGATTTGCTTTCTGTTACATTAGTGGGAAAACCACAAAAAATTAATTTGGTGTAGTTAAAGAAAAATTGTGCACATGCTTTGTAAAGCAACAGACAAAAGCAATAGCTTAGCTCTGGTTTCTGTGATTTGTACTACTTCTTCACGGCACAGCCCTGTGGCTGAATGCTACTGTGCATTTATGGTTAGGCCAGCCAGAACATTCAGTTACATTTTGCCATGCAGGAGCTCAGTAGATTTAACTGAAGATTTGACTAGTAAACATGCTGGGTTTTGGGTCTGCCTCCACTCTTCTCCACAACAGGCTTTGCCTCAAGGGCCTTCTGCAGACCTCTAACCTGAAACAAGCCTGAACCCGCAGCAGTGGCTACACTAGACAGCTTTTCAGTAGGAAGAGTCCATGACCTAGCCCCAGGTTTCAGTCCAAATTTTAAGAGCAATATCAAAGGCAAAAGCGATAATCTAGGAACTCCATTAATTCAACTGCTGTAAAACAAAGTGTAAACCAGACTACAGCACCAACCGTCTTGAAAAATCTGAGATACACACGCAGCTCTATCGCTGCTCTGCTGTGTAACACGTGCGTGTCTCTAGGAGTACAGGTTTAAAATTCAGAGTCCTTGATTGCTTTCATCTTGATGATCACCCACCCATCATGTATTTTCAGTATCACTCTGTGTACCATACCTTGTTCTTGCTGCTCTCACATGACTGTAAACTGGCCAAGATCTGACTCTCTATGGCTTGTACCCACGCATCTCTTTCTTCGTATGTGGTAGCTTCAAAGTGCCAAGTCTGGCCGGTGAGAGAGACAATGATAAACTCAAAGTTTTCTTCTTGTTCTGAAAAAAACAACATGCAATAGGAAGAAAAGTTTTAGGCTTGAGGCTATCGATAGCTAGGCTCAAACAATCCTCTTTGATGAGCATTTCTGTAGCATAAGAAGCAAACGCAGGTTTGGTCGTTCGAGGTTTGAAGCTGGATATATCCAGCAACCCTGCAGTTGCACAATGCATCAGAAAATGCCTTTTTCTCTTCAAATGTTACTGTTTTGGGTAAACATTCAGTTCTTCTGTGTGTGTGTGTGTGTGTGAGTTTGGTATCAAATCTATACCTCTCTCGAGCACAAAGTGAGTAATAAGCATTATTTAGATTTAAACCTGAGATGCTAAGAGCTACATAATATAAAAATCAAAGTGTGTCACCAAATAACTTAAATGATGAATGGACTATAAAAAGCTGACAATACAGAAAATTCGACTATTTACCTTCTTTCTTCAAGCTGTTTTTTACGTGGACAGATATATTAAAAGCGGGTGTGTACATTTTCTTGTCTAAAGCATAAATACACTGGGCTATAATACAGGATTAAAATCAGTTCAACCTATTCAACATTCACGTTCAACATGGGAGATGAGAAAATGATCTGAGAAGCTAGCAGAAAGGGTCAATGAAATATCCTTAGGGCTACTAGAGTATAAGGACAAGTATTCAGTTCAGAGGACGGCCGCATATGAAAATACCAGCAGAACTGATCTAAATGGACACATACTCTAACTACACATGGGACACCAAAGTCAAATTAAAAAACTCAAGGAAGCCTGAAACAGAGCGAGTGGAATTGGGAAGGGCAGGCATGAAGCATGAAAGGAACAGAATAATAGAGCACAAAGTTCTGGTGAACATCAGCCATAATGGGCTTTAGAAAGAACATTTACATTCGCTTGTCTGCTAATGACTTATTATATATTCAGAGCCACGAAACTCCTGCATTACCTTGTCATCCTTAAGCATGCCAAGATAAGTGACAAATCTAGCGCCAGCTTTAAAGGCAGCACTGCTGCTCAGCGGCACTCATTTTCTCAACCTGTGGGACAACTACTTTTCTTTGATAAAACTCCATGCTAGCAAGGCCAGTGCTTACACTGCTTTAATGATGCCTCAAAAAAAATAGCAGGAGGTACCTTTGCACCTTGAGGTGAGAATAAACACGGAGGTGAAGGTTATTTCCGTGTGCATGAGCTGCACGAAGCAGTGGTTTTACTAAAAAACATAGTGTGTGTGAAAAGGAAGGTAAGAGAAACGATGCAATTGTACAGTTATAACTAATTCTCACTTCAGCAATGCCGTGTTAAAAACAAAGCGGTAGACTCGTTACCCAAAACGCTCTGATTAAAGCATGGAAAAAGCCACATTTGTCCAACAGAGCTTTCAAGAGTTTATGAGGAAGATGTAAGAGGAAGTACTCAACCATAAAGGCTGAGTACAGCCCTGTAGCTGTGTCCGGCAGGACAACACGGTTCTGGTCTTCCGCTTACGTAGGAGTGGTACGGCATACGGTCAGAGGGGAGGGGATAGGCGTGCGCAGAGTTACACGTAGGTTGACGAAAGCAGAGAATGAGGGCAAAGGAAGGGAATGTGAAAAAATGAGTCCCACCTGAAGCAGCCCCCCGCCTTAGAGCCCAATTTAGGAAATTCCATCATTCTTAGGCTTTTCAGTGCCTTCTAAGCGATAACACCTTAAGTCTTAATAAAGGGGGATCTCCAAATGCTGGTCACTACTACTGGTTCAGAAAACCCTTCTATATGAATTACTCAGTGTGGGTGGGGCCGAGACATGCGTATGGTTACGGCAGGGATGCTGCGATATGCAGCAACACAAAGGCCCTTTTCAGTCTCACTCCATTTTCAGCACCTCCTGCCCTTCACCTTCAGCCCTTCCCTTCCTCTCCCGCAGCCTCGCTCCAGGCCGCGTTGTATTTCCCTGCTCCTCCACCATCCACCACACCACGGCTACAGAAGCCAAAGCCTTGGCATAAGCTGCCTACTAGGGAAAACAGACATTTTGCCACCTCAAACTGAAAATTCCTCACACCTTTTCAAGCAGGGAGGAGGCTCTGTAGGGATACAAAGAAGAGCACGAGGGGAGAGGAGACTTCTCCAGCACACATGGCAGGGCTGATAACTCAATGAGCATGTGTGGTATATAAATAATACTTCAACAAGTTTTTATGGTGTATTTTTAGAGTCTCTCTGCACTAATCCTGTATCACTTCATCCCAGCATTTAAGTACTAGGCCACTTCCCAGCATTACAATTCCAGATCTTAAAAGAATACAATGAAGATGCAGCACCATGGAACTCTCCTATTTCCGATTTGCCATTAGTCCTTATCACGAACATGAAGGTAGATTGCCCAAGAAGGGCTTAGGAGAAATAAACCCTGCAATTCAGCCAGCGTGCCGTTTAAAAGTGAGGTTGAGATGCTATCTTTTGTGTTCCAGAAACGCTACACAGAGTTATCCTCCTGCTTACGGGAGAGCTACGGCAGATGACACAAACCTGTCTATTCAGGCGACTGGGGTGCAATTCAGGAAACACCTCCAGCCATTTCCCGTGGCCACTCTTTTTTATGCCAAGTCTCCCTTTCCCAAAGGAGAGGCTCCCATGTTTCATCTCCTGACCTTTTCTGCTGTGACCAGCTGACACCGTGACACAAGCTGTAAAAGACCTTACACAGCCTTTGTGCTCGGGATCGCAAAGTCCATGTAACATGCCGGTCAGTCTGTCCCAGTATGGTTCCGGCGTGGATTATGAGGGCTGCAGCGTGCTTTAAGGCTGGTCTGGAAGGACATTTTCATTGCATCACTAAGTTAGCTGCAAACTTGCCCATCACTGATTAAGAACATACAAGTTTTCATTCTCCGATATCCACTGAAACTTCAGGTGTACTCCCTAAAAAGCTCAGATGAAAAGCAACTGCGTCAGTTGAAGATGTGTTCAATAACACATCTTCTGCTTAAACACACCACATTTTTTTGGGAAAGCACAATTGTGAAAGCCAGCAGCAGTGCCTGCTCCACGTCACCCACTGGGCAATGCCTACAAAAGACGAGTAGGGAATGCGTATGTCCTTACCCACCACATACACAAACAGAAAAATCCAGGCAGCACAATGAAATTGTTCAGTTTCACTCTTCAGTAAAATTATAGGTTGTGCTATTTAAATCCCTGTGAGCCCAATCACAAAATTTTATTAAACGGTTTTCCATGTTTAACAGTTATTCATTGAAAGGTCCACTATAATAGTATTTTAGCACCATCAACCTGTCGAAATCAACCTGCCCAATTACTCCAAACTACATTAATAACACCGGATATTACACTAATTGTGTCCAGTTTCTATGCAGACGAGGTCCCGCGGGGCTAATTTTGCATCCTCAGGGGCAAGCAACTCAGCCATCAACCTGATTTCACTAGGAATCCCTCCTCATTACACAAGTCCAGGCTGTCAAACTTTTTTTTTTTATAAAAAGGTTAATGGGCCAATCAGTCATCAATTATTTCCTGGAAGGCCAGCAGCCAAAGGGTTAAAGTGCGAAGAACCAGCTGCAACTGATTTCCATTTGGAAGTTATTATCAACAGGAGATGTCTCCAATTTTGTTGTTGTTGTTTGTTTTGCCCCTTTTTTTTGAGTAGAAAGGGGCAGCTAGGATGGGAAATGAGCTGAAACTGTAAGGTTATGGTGATATGGAACCTAAAGCATGAGACTTCCATTTTTTTTCCAGAGGATCCGTGAAAGTGGACATGCAAGAAGCCTATTTCAGGGAAAAATCTCCACTACACCATCCTAACCACCACACCATCTCCAAGAAGCTAAACAGTACTACCGTTTATGCTGCACATACTGTTTTCCCCATCATCTTTCCATATTGAAGTTACTGTGTTTAACCCAAATTGACATTTATTTTGCTCTGGTAGAAGACAGACATTGCTACAGCCCACCCGGTTATGGAAAACAAGACACAGGATTGTGTAGAGGCAAAGGACTGTGCAAGGGAAAACAAACATGTAGGCATGGTCTCACTGCATTCCCATACCAATGCCTTTATTTATTGTATGTAACTGAGATCAAATTTAGAGAATTACACCAAAAATAACCACAGGATACAGCTAATCTGTAACGTGTTCCAGGGAACTGAATTAAGCCTACTAAAATGTAGGGACAACACATGTCCAGAAGCAGTTATGCCTCTTGGTATCCCCTAAGAGCCGTTCTAAATGGTGTGTGTCTGTCAGTTCGGTCACAACTGTCGTTCCCCTCATCTCTTAGTGGTAAGAATTGCCTACATCGCCACCGACGCCTTGCACCAGTGCTGGGGAAACACAAGCCCAGCTTCGAGTCAGCAGAAGACAAAGGTCCCTTTCTGCCAGGTCCTCTACAGCCAGAAAGTACACTCAGGTTTGCTTTGTAATAAGTAATACTTCTATTTTTTCATGGGTATAAAACAAAGACTTGACAGACTTACAGCATTTCTCATAGGCATACATGAATATTTTGCCAGAATTGGAAATAAAAACGGATCTTCTGGCATCCAAACCAACCAGCCTCTTTCACTAGGTGCCAGATCGTGCATTTGCAACTTTGGCCAACGTTGCTGTTATCGGAGGATCCTGGTGCTGCTGGCAATCAAGAGTAACTCACCGTGTGTGTCTGGTAGATGATGCCACTCACACAGAAAACACTTCCCAGAAACAAGAAGTCACGTGCAGAACCAAAACATTCTCCATGTCATGTTTCAAACACCCATGAAGCACCTTCAAGAGGTTACAGCTCAAAACCCAGTCAAGCCTGCCTCAAGTAACACTGAGACCTATTTAAACTCCCTTTTCATCACACCCTCCTCCCCTACTCAAAAACCGCTTCTGCTCAAGCACCCTTCCTTGAAAATAACCCTTCATCTCATCGAAAGGACGAGAATGAGCAAACTGCTGAGGTGCCCTGGCAATCAACATTAGCTGTTTACAATATACAATTTGTTTACAACAAAGGCATGCGTT